CTTCCGCCCCCTCGCCCTGCGCTGGTTCCGCTGGCGCTGCCGCCCGGGCCCACGGGAGGCCACAGCCGAGCGGGCCTCCCCCCGACTCCAGCCACGGCCCGCTGGCGGCAGGCCCTGAGGGGCAGGGACGGGCAGCCGGCCGGAAGGGCCCAGCTCCTCAGGCTGGGGAGCCGATGTGCGGTGTCGGTGTGGAGGCAGGGAGAAAGCCCCTCCTCCAGTTGCTTCCCTGCAGCTGGCGCCTCGGAGCCCTCAGCGCTTCCCCCAGCGTTGCGCCTTCCCACGAGGCCGGCCTCCTCCTCTGGCGGAGGCAGCAGTCGCCCAAGCCGCTGCGATGGGCACCTTCGCCCACGGCTGGGGTGGAGGCTCCTGCTCAGCAGGGCCGGGCAGCGCCCGTGGCCTTCTTGGTCTCCTGTAAGAGCCAGGGGGCCGCCCCTTGGCTGAGCCGGATCGCTTCCCACCCCGCGTCCGGGACTGCCTCCTCGGAGTGGCAGAGGGGTTGTGCCGTCGCGCTCGGGCCCAGCCGCTCGGCTGCCCGATCGGGCGCTGGACTGGCAGCGAGGCCTTCGGCCTGGGCCTGCTCTGGGCCCCCTCTCGGGCCCTCTGGAGTCGCTCACGGGCTCCTGCTGCCGAGCCCCTTTCTCCCTGGAGGTGCTTCCAATCGCCCCAGCAGCCTCTGCATGCAGGGCTCGCTCCTCTTCCCAGAGGCACGTGCTCTTTGGAGAGGCGGCCCCCGGACCTCTTGCAGCACCGCGGCGCGTCCACAGTCGGCCTGGTGAAGCACGCTGGTTGCGTGGCAGATGCCTGCCGGCCTCCCGCGGGGCGAGGGGCTCTGCCGGCCCGTGCGTCCGCAGGCAGGGAGCAGGGGAGAGCGTCCGCCTGCGTAAGTGGCATTTTGACACAACGGCGTCAAGATGAGGACCATCAGGAGAGGCTCTCGGGTTGCCTTCTCACCATAACGCTTCGGAGTTACTGGAAACGGCGCGGCAGTCCTGGGAATAAATTATGAGCATTTGCAGATGGAAAAAATGAAAGAGCTTTATCCACGGCGAGTGCAGATGTGAAGGTTTCTGGAATCTGTCCACTGGAAACCTAATTTAATAAAGACAGAAGCCTCACCCCCGGCCCAGGCGTGTGTCCAACAATAATGCAGACGGGGGTGGCGGGCTGTGGCTGGACAGAGGGGGCTCTGCTCCGACACGCAGCCTCCTGCCAGGGCGCCCTGGGCCTTCCGCGGGCGGCTTGAGGGCATAACCAGATGTCCCCGCGAAGCAGCGGGCCGCGCACGGCCAGGTGCCCCGTGCCACTCCCGCAGCCCCGCCTGGCTGGCGAGGGAGCCCAGGCAGCTCCGCCGGCTTGCCCCTCCTTGCCGCGGGCCCCCTCTTGGCAGCCCCTCTGGGCGGGCGCGGCAGCAGGTGGGGCCACTTCAGCTCCTGCCCCTGCCGGACACGCCGTGGGGCGAGCCCCCCCCCCCCCCCTCCTCCTCTCGCACCTCGGGACCACCCTGCCACCGCGGGCGGCGCAGAAGGGGGACCGGCTTGCGCAGGCCGGTCAGGCTCCTGGCGAGCGCTCTGCCCTCGGCCTCCCTGCGCGTCGGAGGCAGGAGCCAAATGCTGTGGCGCAAGCCCCGCCTGGCCAGCCTTCCCGCACGTCCGGCGCGGCACCCGCGGCTGCCCCACGTGGCACAGGAGAGGGGCGTGCCGTGCGTGGTGCGCGTCCCACGAACGCGGAGTGTGCTCACCAGGACGCCCGGGTCCAGGGCCCCACAAGGCGGGTGGGAGTCTGGGGGGCCACGCCTGGGGGTCCGATGGGCCGCCCGAGTGGGCCGCCCACACCTCCCTGGCTGCGGGGCTTCCGGTGGAGGCCTATTCAGATATTCAGCACTTCCAAACTGAACTGGGGCCAAAATGGATTCCGAGGGGAAAGGGTTGCGGTGAGCCTGAAGGTGCCCGAGCGCACGCACATGCATGCGTGTGGTGTGCTGGGAACAGCACTGGCCTCAGAGGGACCTTCATGACTCAGAGGTCAGTCGGGAGGCGCTCTGGCCTCCGACGTCCACATCCCTAGCAAGCATAGCTCAGGGAGGAGGATCCCGGGAGTCGGCATAAGCTTCTCGAGGGCTGCCCGCGCCTGCTGCAGGTCGTTTGGGACAGCGCCGCGCGTGGGGGGGGGGTGCGGGCAGGCATCCGCTGGGCTGTGGTGGCAGCTTGCGCTGCAGTTGGACGCAACAGCACCAGCGGCCCGCCTGGTGTGGACGAGCGAGCCCCACGAGGGCCGCTCCTCCTTCCTCCTGGCCCCTTCCTTCTCCAGGATTTTACTAGCTCTGGCGTCTTCCGTTGCCTGGACAGTTCTGAATTGCCTTTAATTACTCTGTTCTGTTCTGGGGGTTGCTAATTACTGGGTACTGCTTTGCAGCCAGAACCAAATGCTTACTGGTTTTTATGAATGCCGTTTAGTCTCTCTCTCTCACACACACACACATGCAAACACTCACCGTTTGGACAGATGGTTTCACCTGAAAAAGGAAAGCCGTAATTAAAGCCGGCTCAATAGGGAGCAGGAGCCAATTAATTAAGGGCAGCAGAGCGGTACCTGGGCCACCATGGCAGGGAAGGATCTAATTCTCTCCCTAAAACGGGGCAGGGCCAGAGGGAAGCCGCCAGTGAGGCCGATGCGGCGCAGTCGCAGAAGGGCCAACTCTTGCTCTGGGAGCCGGGGCTTTGGACGCCGCTGCCGGAACCGCCGGTCCCGGCCCCGGGTCTGCTCAAGGCTTGCCCGGGCAGCCTGAAGGGCCGCCTTGGCTGGGCCGACAGGCAAGCACCCCCTGCCTTCGCTGGGAGCAGGCCCGCTGTTCGGCAGCGAGGGGCAGGGCCCCCCACACGGGGCCTCCTGGCTCCCCTTCCCAGGCCACGCGCGCTCTGCTCGTGCCCTTGCCGGCGCTCTGCGGGTGGCTCTCAGCGGCGGGGTGGGCCTGCCCGCGGTGGGTGCTGTGTGGGGAGGGGGCCTGGGTGCTCGCCTTTCCTCCCCACGGCCTCGGGGTCTCCCTTTCCGGCTCGGGGCTGTTTCTGCGGGCCGTCTGGAAGCTTGAGCTCGCTAGGGCCTCCCTCCCCTTTCCCCACCTCTGGTCTACCCCGTTCCCCCAGGGAGGGTGCGCCCCCCGGCCCCCGCTTGTCTCCCTGACGCGCACCAGGCCCCTGGTCGCCAGCCGTCCAGCACGTCTCTCGGCCGGCGTGTGTGACACGCCGCGCCGGCCGTTCCCCTCTCGGGTGTGCGGGCTGCCAAGGATGATTTATGGAGCTGCGCAGTCGACTCTTTAGTTTGAAGAATTAATGGTATTTGCATATTTTGATGTTGGAATCTGCCCCAGAAGGCAGCAGTAGAATTTGCGGCGCAGCAGGTTTGTGCTCTGGGGACGGTCCTGGGAAAGAGTCGTCCCTCCACCTGATTTAGCTGCGGAGGCGAAAAGTTTAAACAGTAAAACCAATAAAAGCACATTTATGTGACAGATAAATCGTCCTGCATTGTCAGAGCTCCCAGGGAAAGCGCTTCCCACCCTCTGGTTGCCTTGCGGAGGCAGCCCTGTGCGAGGGAGGGGCCCGAGCGGGCCTGGGGGGCCTCCAGCCCGGCCGCGTGTCCACAAGATTGATCGGGCTAAGCGGCTGTAAAACACACAGGCCATCCGTCACTGTCCGTGCCCCGGCTCTGGCGTGCCGCGTGCTGGAAGGAGCGAGGCTGTGCTCCGGGGGCGCGCGAACCTGGGGATGCTGGAGCGATCGAAGGACAGATCGGACCCCGCGCCTCGTGGTGGGGGCGGGCGTGGGCTGAGCAGTCAGACCGTGGGGCCCAGGGCTGCTGCTTTCGGGGTGCTGAGCCCTCGTTTCTTGCCAAGTTCACACCCTACTCGTGACTGGGAGCGGATTGGGAATGGGGAGGCCTGGAGCACATTTTGCTTGCTCTCTGTCTGTCCCCCTCCCTCCCTCTCTCCCTCTCTCCCTCTCTCACACACACATGGGGGGGGGGCTCTGCTCAAGTCCCCCACCTCTGTCAAAGGAGCCAGAGGCCCCACACAGCCAGCTTCCTCCTGAGGGGTTGCCCCTTGGCAGCAGCAGGCCTGGCTCTTCCCTTGAACCTGCACAGTTCTGGAAGCCGTTGGACTGCCCCCCTCCCCTCCGCTACCGGCCCAGGGGGGAGGCATTTGCCAGAGAGGCGCAGGGCCCGGGTGTGCGGGGTCTGTTGCAAGGCATCGCGGTCAAGTGTGGGAACGTGCGCCAGCTTGAGCGGGCGCTGCTCCTCTCGGCCTCCTGGCCTTGGCCTCCTGCAAGTCCTCCGTGGCACCAACTTCGTGTTCCCCAGCCGGACCGCCAGCTGCAGCGTCGCCCCTTTCTTCGGCATGGAGCCGGTTTCTCTCCCAGGACTGGGCCACTGTTGGGCAGAACAAGGGCGGTCCAAGTCCAGCCTGCGTGCTTCTCGAGGAGCCTCTGCCCCCCCCCCCCGGCTTGCACCTGCCCCCTTGGTCTTCCCCCCCTCAGCTGCCAGGCTGAGCAGTGCAAGAGGAGGCTCGCACGGGGTCTGCTCAGGCCCCTTGGGAGGCCCAGTGGGCCGCTGTCCTCTCGTTCTCGTACGACCCTGGGCCCCCTCTGTGGTGCTCCTCAGCCGCAAAGCACTTTGACACAGAAACGCAACAGAAGCCGCTCGGGGCCCGTCGCCGTAGACGGCCCTGCCCTTCCCCAGGCCTGAGGAGGGGATCCCAGCTGCCTTGCTGTTTCCCTTCCCCGTGGCCCTGGGGGGCGGGGGCTGCTGGCACCCCCTTTGCAGATAAAGCGCCAGGGTGGGCTGTGGAATTGTCCCGGGCCAGCCAAGCCCCCCCCCCCCCCCGTGGCAGAGCTGGGCCTTTCTCTGGGCCCAGGGCAGCTCCTTGGCCACCTGACACCCCAACAGGCCCCTTCCAGGGGTCCGTGACCCTGACCTGCTGCGTGCTTTTCCTCCCCGCTTCTCTGTCGCAGCTCTTAGACTTGTTTCTCCAATGGGACTGGTCGACGTACCTGGCCGACTACGGACAACCGACCTGCAAGTATCTCCGCGTGAACCCGACCACAGCGCTGATCCTGCTGGAAAAGTGAGTGCGGACCACAGCATTCCTCGGATGGCTTCCGGGTTCCTTGCTTGCTTTGACGTGCAGCGGCATTCCGTGCAACGCTGCGCTGCGCCCCGCTCTCTGGGCCGCTGGGGAGGGGGAGGGCAGGGCCGGCCCGCATGGTGCTGAGTTCCTGCGCGGCCCCCACCCGTGCCGTGCCTGGCTTGGCTGCGGCTGCTTAGCGCTCCGTTGTGCGTTGCGCCCTGTCTGTGCCACTTCCATCGTCCACGCGTCATCGCACGGCGAGCCACACCGGGCGTGGGGTGCATGCGAGGGGGTGGTGTCCGTGGGGCATTTGCATGGGGGGGCGCTCAGCCGCGGGCGAGGGGCTTCCACAGGCGGCCTGCTTGGGCCGCACGGCCTTTGATGCATGGCCCGCCCCAGGCGGCCCACCGTGACGGCACGGGCCACGTCCCCAGCGTTCGGGGTGCGGTGTTGGCTGCTCTCTCCGTGCCTTCGGTGCGCTCCAGGAAAGGCCCTGCCAACACACTTGCGTTTCGCTCCCCCGCGGTTCGGCTGGGGGCTGCAGCCAGGGCAGCGTGCTTCGGCGGCCTGGGCAGGCGGGCTCGGCTCGTGCTCCGGACCCCCTTTCCTGCGGCCCAGGAGGAAGCCCTGCCCAGCCCTGCCCAGGCACCCGCTGCCCCTGCAGCCGTGCGTTGTGCTGCGGGCGGGGGACTCCTTGGCTCTTGTGCCCTGCTGGGACATGCCGCAGCCTGGCCGTGGGGCAGCCGGGGTCCCGGGGGGGTGGCCGGGACGTGGGAAGCTGCCTTTCCCCAGCCGGATCTCGCCGGGCTCCTCCGGCCCCTGTCGCTGCCACTGCCTGGCGGCGAAGGCTGCTCCGGGTGCTGGCCGGGTTCTCTCCCAGCCCCGCGTGGAGATGCCTTTGGGATGGAGCCGGCGGGCCCCGGTTTGGACCCGTGGGGGCAGGCCGAGGGGGGAACGCAGAAGCCTGGAGGGCTTTTAGAGCCGGAAGAAGCCAAAGGGCCGTGCGGCCAGACGGCCGATGAAACGCCCTCCAAGAACGCTGCATGCGCCGTGCGCGGGAGATCCCCTCGCCTTGTGCTTAGGAAGCACGAGGCACAATCCGGTTTTCCCAGGGACTTGAGGAACAGCTGAGGGGGTCCCGGGACTAGCAGGGGGCGGGTCTTGCCCCGAAGGCTTGCCGGATGTGGTGAAGGGTGTGGAGGGGCTTGCTCCCTCCCCTCTCGCAGCTGAGGGCCATCCGAGCCCAGCAGTGGGAGGTTCGCTCTGGGGCGGAGTGGAGTGGCAGCTGCTGCCCCGAGAAGCGTGCGGAAGGGGCGTGGGTGGATCCGCAGGGAGAAGGGAGGGTCCGCACTGCTGGCCAGGCCCACCAGGAGGGGCTCCAGACTCGGCCGGCCTGGTGCTGGAGACGGGCGGCTCTGCGCGAGATGCCCCCGAGCAAGCGGGGGCTCCAGCTCCCTGCACCCCTTGCAGCACCTCCAGGCCGGGCCAGGGACGAATCCGGCCTGGAGCCCTGAGAGCCGCAGCAGCCACGCGGCCCGGAGGACCTTCCCGGCCCAGCGGGGGAATTCTCGCAGCTGGGCTCCCGCGTCTTTCGAGGACACCGGGGGGGGGGGGGGGGAGGCCGGCGCGGACCCGGAGCTGCCCCTGAGGAGGAGCAGATGCTGGCCACGTCTTGGCCCTCTGCCTCGTGCCTTCCTGGCCTAGGTGCTGGGCGGGGGGCAGAGGAGATACAGAGGCGGGACCCTGGTTGGGCGAGCTGCTCCGGCCCAGCCGGGGTCCGGGGCTCTTGCCTGCCTGCCTGCCTGTGCTTCTCCTGGAGGCCGGCAGCCACAGAGCTCAGCAGACCCGCTCCGGCCCCCAGCGGGGAACTGTGGGCCGGGCGAGCTGCAGCGTTGGCCCCGGGAAGGTCGCCAGCTGAGGGGGGCAGCCGGGCCCAGTCGGGCAGGGGGCGTCGCGTGCTTGCCCCCCCGCCCTCCGGCTTGGCGCAGCGGCCTGCTCGGTGCAAGCGTGGGCGGGGCGGGTGCAGGGCACAGGCAGGACCGTGCTGTCAGCCCCCCGGCCCCGGCCCTGGCCCTGGCCCGCTCTGCCCCAGGAGGCCCCTGCCCAGGGAGCCCTGGGCCGCCCTGGTGCGGCTGCCGCTGGGGCCCGCAGCCTGTCCGCCTCCGTTGGGAAGGCAGAGCGGTTTGCCGCGTCGGGTTGGATCGGCCTGGCAAGCCCGGCGGCCACACAAGCCACTGCTTAACTTGTTGTCTTTCCCTCCTCACTCCGTCCGCACAGGATATCTCGAGAGTAAGTATGAGGCTCGTTCCCGGGTCCGTTGGCCGGCTTTGCCCCGAATCCGTCTCTTGTGGGGTGCCGGTGGAGCGCCCGGCAGTCCGGAGGCGCGGCTTCTCTTGGAAGCAGCCTCTCCCGTGGCCTCGCCCCCCCCCCCCCCCGCCCCATCCCGCCGGGGGGGGGGGGGGGGGGCTCTCCCGGGCGGCGCTTTCTGCCCGCAGGTGCCCTTCCGCGCGGCGTGGAGTGGCGTGCCGAGCGCCCTTCCTCGGGCCCGTCGGGGCCCCTTTGCGGGCCTTGAGGCACGTGCCCGGATTGTGCCCCACTGCTCTCGTGGTTTGTTGCCGGTGTGCTGGCTGGATGCCCGGTGCAGATCCGCCATCGCACGCCTTGCTTCCGCGGTGACTCTCACACCGCATGAGAGCCGCGAGCGCCGGACACGCAGCAGCACCCTCTCACGTCCTGTCGCTCCTCCCCAGGTGGGACAGGTGCCGTCAAGGGGTGGCGGGGGAGCCCCCGGCGAGCTGCACGACTTCGGGAGTCTGCCAAAAACCAAGCAAGGGTGAACGCCCGGCCTTGCCACAGGTCTCCCCCGAGCCAGCCTCCAAGGTTCGGCGGTGGTCAGCGGGACTGCAGGATGCCCCCCGGGGCCAGGGACTGCGGCACCCCGGCTTTACGAGCGCTCCCTGCCGTGCGCCTTCGCCGCCTGGGCACGCGGCAGCTGTCCTGTGCTGCTGAGGAGGGCCGGCCTTGTCCCGGCCCCCCTGCCTGGGGCCCCGTGCCTGCCCCCCGTGCCTGCCCCCCGTGCCCCTTTCCCTGCCTCTGGATCCCCGGAGGGGGTGGCAGGTGGGGCTCTGGCTGGGCCAGGGGTCCAGAGCTGGTGGCCAGGGGCACCCCCCTTGCGTGCCTCCTTCAGGGGTCCCGCCCTGGGGACCCTTCCCGGGACTCCGAGATGCCCCACGTCACCTGGTCGGAGGCCCCTTCGAAAAGTCTTTGCCAGCTGCAGGAAGCCGGAAGGGGGGCTGGGGAGGGATGTGGCAAAGAGGCAGGCGTGTGCCCCGGGCATGGGGGTCCCCACACAGGCGGGGGGGCATGAGGAGCTGCACATCTTTGCCCGGCTGCAGCAAAGGAATGACGCGGCCGCTCCCGGCGTGGTGCTCCTTCCCCGGGAGGCTTGTGGCAGGCCCCCCATGCGCAAGCGCTCCGTGTGCGGGCTTCTCCACCTGCTCCCGGCTGAGGGGGGCTTTCCTCTCCGCAGGATGAAGGACACGAGCCGGAAGAACAACGTCTTTGCGCAGTTCCGGAAGAATGAGCGGGACAAGCAGAAGCTGATCGAGGCGGTGGCCAGGCAGCTGCGGGGCCTCATCAACAGCCACCACTCGTGAGCAGGGGCCGCCGGCCGCCGCGGGGACCTGGGGGCTTGCCCGGCCGCGCTGCCGGGAGAGGGGGCGGCCCTGCCCGGGCCCTTCCTTGCCCCTCTGCCCAGAAGGTGGCAGCCCCCGCGGCCGCAGTGGCTTCGCCTGCTCCTGCGGGGACCGCATCGCACGTGCTCGGAGAGGCCTGGAGCCCCCGGGCTGGAAGGGGGCCTGCGGAGGCCGCGGACGGCATGTGCCCGGGCTGGGCTCTCGTGGGGGTTTGCAGCGATGTGAACGCCGGGCCTCTGGGCCCCCGCCGGGCACCCGCAGGTCCCGGGCCCAGCTGGCCGCCCCGTGCGTGGGGTGCGGCTGCAGGGGCGGGCGGTCCAGCGCTGCTCCACAGGTGGGCTCCGTGGTCCTCAGACGGTCCCCCGGCCCGGCCTTCCTGGCACTCCCGCATCCTGAGGGGTCTCTAGGCCACGTGTGGCCGTGCGTTTGGCGCACCTCCTGCTGTGCTGCACCAAATGCGTGGAGGTGCTTCCCGGGCCCTTATCCCACCTGGGCTCGAGAGTCCCCCCTCCGCCACGGACGTCTGGGCCGTGGGGCTTTCCTTTGGCCGACAGTGGGCTTGTGAGGAGCAGCCCGGGATCCGTGGCGCATCTGCCCAGCCACACCACTGAGGCACAGAAGCCACCAGTCACGCAAGGCGAGGGAGGCCATGGGCTGAGCCTCCCCTGCCCACCTGGGCGTCTCCAGGGAAGCCGAGGCGTCCTAAGCCAGGTGTGGGCAGAGGCCTGAGATGGCGGAGGGCCCCCTTTCCACCCTGGGGGGCCCCAGTCCACCCGCCCGCTCGCCCTGCTTTGCCATGGCTGCAGAGCCCTGATATGAAAGGGAACGAGCGGGGGCTCCTGGAGGAGCCCCCAGCGATGGTGGCGCTGCTTCGCCTGGTGCGCCACACTGTCCCTCCTTGCCCTCCTCTCGCTTCGCTCCAGATGCAGCCGTTCTCTTACTCTCTGAAGAGCCCTCCCCGGCTAAGCCTTCCGCGGGATCGCCGGTGGCCGCTGGGCACGTGCGGGGGGGCGTGTGCCCGCTGGGCCTGGACCCTCGTCCCTCTGGGTCGGTGCTCGCCCGGATGTTCAGTCCGGGGGTCGTGCCCCAGCCGCTGTTCCAGCAACATCACAAGGGCAAGCACCTGGTCCGGTCCGTGGCTTCAGCAGCATTTTCAGTGATGCCGCCTGCTTGGGACCAGCTGCCTTCCGAGCCATTTTTGGGGCTGTGAAATGAAAGATCTGTGGGGGCTCCCCTTCAAAATCCGGAGGCACGGTGTGGGGACCTTCCCCAAACAAGGCCTCTGCTCTGGTCCTTCGTAAGGCAGAGAGCAGAACAGCCGTCGGGAGCCGTCCCGGTGATTCTGGTCCCGCTTCCCCCGGCTGCTTCCAAGCGCTGCCTCCCACGTCGCAGTGAGACCTGTTTCCCGCCCGCGATAACATGCAGCTGTTTGTGCGCAGAGAACAACTTCGCAGCGCGGCCCGCCAGCAGCAGCGCGGCCCTTGCAGAGCCCCGGCCCCTCCTGGTTTGTACTGCTGCTCTGGGGACCGTGCCCTGCGTGTTTCTCGCGAAAAGCGTGGCGTGCGGGCAGCCACTGAGTTTGGTGGCAAGGAGAGGCGCCGGCCAAAGGATAGAGCATTGGCACGACCAGCACCACTGGGGGGAGCGGGGGGGCACCCCTCAAAGCCGGGCAGGGCATGTGGCTGCGTGCGGATGGGGAATGGTGCAGCCGCCTGCACAGGACGCCGTGGGCTCAGGAGCCCTGTTCTCTGGGTCGCTGCCTTGCGCCCGAAAGGGGGCAGAGCTCTCGTGCAGGACGGGGGACCCAGCAAGGCCAAAGCTCCCCACCTTTTCTGGGGCCTTCCCCCCCGCCCCCAGCAAGATCAGCTTGGACCTTCCAGCATCCCTCGGGCAAAAAAGGAGGGTGCTGGCACACCTGACCTGGGAGGGAGAGAGGGGGTGCCCCTTGCATCGGGGTGCCCCTTTGTCCAGCTGTCTCAGCCGCCTGAGAGTTGCCTCACCGGGAGGGGCCGGGGCAATTTCCCCCGGGGCCACACAAGCCCCTGCGAGGCTCAAGCTGCCCGAGCCCCTCCTGTGCTGGGCAGGGCCCGTGTGCCGCTCTTTGCAAAGGGCCCGCGGTCAAACACCCGCCTGCCCAGCCGACGCAGGTTGCTTCCAAAGCCCCACAAGGAGCGAGGCCCGCCGGAGTCCCCCCTCGCGCCCCCGGCCCTGCCCGTGCTCCTGGCTGGAGGGACGAGCGCGTGGCGGCTCCCCTCGTGGGCTGCTCTCGGCCGCTTCCCACCGGCGAGTCTCCGTGGTGCAAGAGAGCGGCTGAGGCTGCGGCGTGGGAGGGCACGCTCCCTGGCACTGCCAGGGATGCCGGGAGGGCGCAGGGGCCGAGGGTCCTCTCAGCCCCTCGGAGCTTCCAGCCTCCCAGTGCCGCCGGTGGAGCCCTCCGAGCCGCTGCTCCAGCTTCCGTGGGGCAGTGCCCGGAGGGGCTGCCAAAGCGAAGCGGTGCCCGCCTCCTCGGCGGGGGGCCCTCCTTTGTGGCCAGACGTTCCATTCATAAATCCCCATTCATGAGTCTCCTCCATTAGCCCTTTCAGAGCACCTGCTTCCTGTGGGGCAGGTGGGGGTGGCGCGAGGGACCGGTGGGGGTTCAAGGAGAGGCGCAGCGCAGCGCGATGCAGTGGGGGCCCCTGTCCTGGCAGACGTGACGGAGCCCACCCACCCACCCGCCCGCTGTGCCGAGCCCGGCCTGCCCGGAGCAGAGCGCCCTCGCACCCGCTGCAGCCCTCGGAGGAGGCCTCTGGGCTGCCTCCCGCCCCACTGGCGTGCCCGACGGGCCCGCGCCGAGGAGGCCGCCGGCGACGCAGAGACTCCCCCGCGCTCTTGGGATGTTGCCGCAGCTCTGCTGGCACGTGTGCACCGCGCTGGGGCGCTTAGTGGTCTGGGGGTCCGGATCGCCTTTGCCAGCCACGGTTTCGCAGCCTGCAAGGGCAGCATGTTTGCTGGTGGTGCTTCCTGCCCCTCTTCCCCCCACGCTGGAGCGGAGCCTCGTCGCCTCAGGGCCGCTGCAGGAGTCACGGCCTGGAAGCCCTCCCGCCGCCTCCAGGCGCCTTCCAGGGGGCCTTCTCCGGCCCAGGAGAGGGGCTTCGGCATGGGGTGCCGGCTGTCACTGGCATTTCATGACTGCCAGCTGGGCATCCATGATGTGCCACTTAAAGAAGCGCTAACGGCCCAGTTCCAGTGAGGCTGATTCCTCCATGGGGCGGCCCAAATCCGCCTGTCTTGGCCTGCCCCGGAGGGCAGCCGTTGGGTGTCCACAAAAGCTGTGCGGCTGAAGGCGCCTCTGGCAACTCTGAGATTCATGGGGGGGGGGGCAGCTTCAGCAGAGCCGGCCTCCAAGCCTGTGGTCGCATAGTGCAAGCAAAAATAGAATTTGGGGCTCGGCTCCTCATTAGTATTTTCTTCCAAGCAATACAGAGAAGCAGTCATTTCGGCCAGTCGTCTTCCCTCGTTGCGAAAGCGAAGTGCAAGGGAGCTGGGAACATCCCCTTTGGTCCTCGGGTGCGGCTGGCCTCTGCCTGGCAGCCCGTTGATGGGGGGCCCTTTTGTTTGATGGGAGGCAGCGGGGCGGGGGCACGAGCCAAGTCGGCCAGCGCACGGCCTGGGCAGCTCCAGCCGTGTCCTCATGCCCGGCGCCACGTTCCAGGGAAGGGGTGGGCCCCTCCTTGGGTTGTGCCACGCAGCCACTGTGGAGGGGCCAGAGGTCGGGGCCCGGCCTCCAGCTTGCTCTCCGTAGCGGAATAGTGTGTGCCTGTTGCGTTGCCACGGAGCCTGGTGGGCCGGCCGGAGAGCTCGGAGCACGCCTTCAGCCAGCGGCGCGGCCGGGCAGGGGCGGCTCGGGGGCTGCGTTTCTCGCAGCACCGGCTCCTTCCAGGCACCCTTGGCGGCATTTCCCTATTTTTACTCTTTGCCGGAGATCGGAACAAAAGTTCTTTGCTGCTTTTGCACTTGGGCTAAATCTGATGGCACTTTTCCATCCTCGCAAGGGAAAATTTCTCCATTATCTTGTCATGTTGTTTGGTTTTTATTGCTTTTGTACGTGATTTTTATTTTTCTAAGGCAAGGCTGTTTGTTCAAACAGAAACTCTTTTTGAGTGTGACAGTTGCGGGCGGGCTCGCGGGGCGGACGCGGAGGCTCACGCTCCGGTGCCGTGGCAGAAGATCGGGCGATGCTTTGGCAGCCCGTCAGGCGTTGCGCAACCCCTTTCCTTTCGACGGGGCTGTGCCAGGGAAACAGTTGGCAACTGCACCTGCCGTTTAGGTTGACCCACGCCTGCCCCCTCCCAGCCACACCGTCCGGTGCTCCCGTGCAGTTCTGGGCAGGGCTGCTGCTGGTGGCTTTGAATGGGCTTTGGGGCAGAGGCCTTCGAGACCATCCTTCCCGCCGAGCCAGCAGCCCTGTACAAAGCGGGTGGCACCAGGCTTTGGATTCCGCGCTTGTCGTGTGCCGTGGGCTTTCGGAAGCCCTCTCTGCCATCCCCGAAGAAGTCAGAACAGCTGCTTTGCAGGTCCGAGGGAAAACGGCCACGCAGGCGAGCAGGTGGTGAACGCCGTGGGCCGTTCTGTGAGTCCGGTGCTTCTGAATGCAGAAAGACCGTGGACGAGCCCCTCTTGCGTGGGACAGCAGTGCTTTTCCTCTGGTCAGGAAAAGAGCCCCAAATGCTTTCGGTTTGTCGGAATTTTGCATCCTTGTCTCTCGCCACACCCGACACCCAGGATTTCTACTTGCTTACGTCTAGGCGCCCGCATGACCAGACACACACATCTTTTCTTGGGCATATTTTGTTCTGGCTTATTTTTATTTTGGAGAGAGTATTTCATAAACTAATGTGGTTCCAAACAACTTTTTTTGCACAAGTCATTGCACAAAAAGGGGAATGTTTAGTACATGAAAGTTTAACCTTAAAGGGATCTCTCTTGGGGAGCATTAGAACAGCTG